GACTATAAAAGACACCGTCATTTGTGACACTTCTGTAGCCTCCCACAAAGCCAAAGTAGACTTCACAGGGTATACCCTACCAGAACATTCAACTTTGTAAATTCAGATGTAGCTAAATCAGTATTTTCCCTCAAATTAATTCCTCTGCCTGTTCCAAAGGATATTAACATACGTGGAAAAACGGTTCCATGGGACATACTCTCAGGAGATGTAGTATGCAGTTTCCCAAAAATGAACACAATACATCTTTTGGGACTAAATGATATAAAACATACTCTGGCAATCTTGGACTTAACAGTTGCTGAAGATCTCAGATTATTCTGAAGTTGTCCAAGTACATTTCTTCTACTCCAACCACTGTACAACCTTAAGAAAGATCCTTCTTTGTTAAAATTCAATAGAATTTTTCCCAGCCTATGGCAGCACTTTTGCTACTCAGATTTGGAAAAATGAAATTCTGCCTAAATTCTGAGTGTTTAACCTCACTTGCAAACATATTTAAATACAAAATGCAAACCTGCATCCTTAGACTAGAATTATGAAAATTAAATCTCTTAGTACTAGAAAGGAACTCTAGAGCATTCTCTTTACAAAAANTCATTCCAAAATGCCTGCAGCCAAAAAGTTATTCAACAGAAACACTGCAAAGAAATGGTACACTGGCATCTGCAGGACTGTATTCTTAAGAAATTAAATCGGAACTAATCAACTTAGAGGGAAAAATAATCCAAAACCCACCCAAATTGCATGAAAAGTCCAATTGTGGGAGAAATTACCAAAGCAAGCACACAAACGTCTTTAATCAAGATACTGAAACACTTTGAACTATGGAAACAAGCTAAACAGCATTAGACACCAGTACTCAGACCAAGCGATTCTTATCAAAGATAGAGATTTCAAACATTTTAAGTCACTTTGGGCACACCAGTCTCTGGATAAGCAAACATGAACACCCTAGAACATTCAAAAATTTTCATACACTTCAATTGCTCTTAACCAGGAGATGCTAGTTTAAAATTGACAACTGAGGTGATTGTTACAATGACATGAAAGGAAAACCAGGAATGAAAAACAAGTCTCCACAGCCCTCCACAACAAAGAATTGTCCCATCACAAAATGTCAGTAATGCTCCCAAATTGAAAAATACTGAGTAAATGAACCAGTAAAACTCTAGTTAGTATCAGCCACTCTCCAAAGTATAACCACAATCTCAGATTAACTTCAGACATAAATTAAAATCGTGAGATGTTACCTTAAAAGAAACCAAATCTCTCACGTCTCAAACTGGGATATGACCCATCCACAGTTGTTACATAGCTATTAAAAGCTAGAGTCCTCTGACTCCAAGTTTGGTAAATGTTTGACTTTCTGAATAGTACACAGCAGGCATCATTTCCTATGTCTCACTCCTTTACCATCAAAAATTGCGAGAGAGAGACTATAAAAGACACCGTCATTTGTGACACTTCTGTAGCCTCCCACAAAGCCAAAGTAGAC